AGATATCTTTTGGACAAAGATTTCTTTTGGAAAAGTATCTTTTGGACATTCATAAAGGCTGAATGACTCATAAAAACATAATGGGCCACTGCTGCTTTTGTTTTATAAAATCAAAACGAATTTAAATTTAGTAGAATTTTTAATTAATTAACAGAATCATTTGCATTTATATATTCTTAATTGTTTGTCTATATTTTCATATTTAAGTGTGCTATAGTGGCACCATCTAAAAAAGGAATAAACAAAAGTATGTATGTGTTACATCAATACCAGAGTTTGTTTGCACCATCAACTCAATCAGTAGAAATCAGTAGAAACTCTGAGATCGGACTCGTTAGGTCGTCAAAAATTCTGGATTTGGGATTTTTCCGCGTATTACATTATCTATTTTAGTCTAGTAAAATGACACGTAAAAATCATAAAATTAAATATATCAAATAGTAATTTATGAAATAATGAAGCATTTATGATATTAGGGAAATCATAATTGACCAAAAAAGGGGAAAAAAAAGAATGAATGAAAAGGACAGAAAGCTCAGTATTTATTTAGTTTTCTTTATTAAAAATTCTTTCAGCTTAAGTTGTTTCATTTGTTTCATTTCAAAGTTGTTGTTAAACTAATAATTTCTCTTTTATTTTATAAATATACAAATTTCAGCTACAAAGTTCCATTGTTCAAGTCCTGTAAATGTCATGTCCAGAATTCCCACTAAATTATTAATCAAAACTTTTTCATTCTCAACAACCTGTCTGTCATTTTCTTCACTATCAGTAGCAATATTTTCTGTCTTCAGAACCATACCACAGGTTTTGCTGTTCATTAATTCATTTCTGATTGGGGCATTGTCATAGCTACTGAAAATCTTCTGTTCTACCATCTTCATTTACTACCACTCCTCCGCAAATTCCATTAATTGGAAAATTTCGCATTTTGTTTGCAATATCTGAAAACTTCTGAATTCAGGGTTGTCATCACAAAGATTAGCTAAGCTGCTATCCACTGTTGATGATGTAGCATGAGAACGGTGACTAAAGACATATTGCTGAATTTTATTAGTTATTTATTATATTTATGCCTATATCCTGCGTGTGCTTAAGGCTTATCTGAGTCCTTCCACGTGTATTTATATGTATTTACATGTTCTTTATAAATTTCCACATGTACTTAAGGCTTATTCTGGGTCGGCTCTAGGTATTTTGTGGGCAGGTGCAGTCTCTGGTGGGTCTTAAATTCCGCTGCCAAATTCTAAGTGCCTCCCTAAATTCTAAAAGTTTTGCTACCTTTTCAGTTTGCATCTCAATGCCATCCCTAAATTCTAAAGATTTTGCTGTCCTTTAAATTCGTTCTCAGAGCTGCTAAAATTTGCATTCCCTAAATTCTGCCACATAAGCTCTGCTGCCGGTTCTGAACTTATCTGAATAACAAATCGGTTGTTCTCAATTCAAAGAGTACTAAATGTAACAGAGTTGCCATGCCACGCTACCGGGAAAAACGGAAAAGTCAGGGAATTCGAAAATTGACCCAAAAGAAATCAGAGAAGAGTCAGGGAGTATAAAGATTTTAGTCAAAATCTCGAAAAGTCAGGGAATGTCATACGGCGATCCCCAAAACAGCGAGTTTTACGGAAGTGATCACTTAGTTGGCGAATTATGTATCGGATGAGCATCACTCGGGCAGCTGGTGCAAAGACATTCTTTGGCTGGCGTAGACCCAATTTTCGCAGCTCCAATCAGATTGTCTTTTAGAAAGGCAAAGCAAGTTTTTGGCAAGTTTGGTTTCCAGTAACGTCGAGAATCATAAGACTCACATGTGCAGGTGCATGTTGAACTAAAGAAAATACCTTCTTATTCTCGTATACAACAAAATCGGTTTAATTCTAATATACGGTATCATGGAGGCTAGAATAGTCCCCATGTACTCTATTCTAATGTAAGAATGTCTATGTAAAGAAAGGTTCCATAGACACAATGTAAATAAGTTTGCTGTAGTCCCGCTAGAAAGCGGAGGGAAAAACTCGCCAAGGTATTTGGCAATGGAACCTGATGGCGAGAATTTCCCCCTCCGCAATGTGTATGGGAAATTGTGGAGCATGTGTTAAGAAGAAACGTTCTTTGACTTTCGCGATAATTTATACTCGGATTTTCGTACTTTTGTTGCTCAAAATAACTAATCTATTAATTTACTCACACGAAAAAATATTTACTTTTTCTTTAAAGCTTAAAGAAATTTAAAACGATATTCATTTTATGTACTTTTGATAAACTTGACGTTCGAACTTCGGCAACAGATATTTCGCGCATATGGAGCTGTTTCCCTCTACGTTGGGATGGAGCCATTCCTGTTGTAGAGAATTTTTTTTATCTTAACAATACACATTATTTTATTCTAACCTCCGTGTATAGTACACACGGGATTTGGTGACATTATGATCAGCAGTAAAAACAGTTAGCTCTTTCTGTCTCTTAGTCTCTGTTCAAGAAGGTGTTGGGCAGTAAACCGGTCATTTTGGTGTTGGCGGCAGTTTTCAAAATTGTACCAAGGCCGTAGCAAAGACTAAGATTTTACCGCAAAATCTTTTTAACTTTTTTTTTTTTTTTTTTTTTTTTTTTTCATTTTGCATTTTGCAGTAAAATAAAAAAATAGTAATCAGTCATTTAGGCTAACATTTAATATGACTATATTCGCCAAAATATCATTGATTATTGTAATTCAGTTTTTCAGTAATTAACTTTAATTTAATTTTTTTTATTTTTTTATATCATTAATGTTATTTATATCATTTTAATGTTCTTCTTTCCTCTAAATTTATTTATTATTAGTTAATAACACTTTTAAATTTCAGGCAAATTTCTCTGGCATAATTCTGAAACTAAATCTAGCAGTATAATGAAATACTATCACGAAATTTAACGCATATATTTTTGCTTATGTATTCTGCTAAATAAATATAAAAATACCTGAATTTATTTTAAAATATCATTCTTACTCTTCTTTAGCTGCAAAATGTCTGCAAAAAAACTCATTTTTTAATCCAGATTGGGCAGATTCTAATCTCAATCTTCAGTGGAAAAAAACAACTCCTGTTATAGCTATAATAGTAATGCTTTCGGGATTATATATATAATAAGTCATATGCAATTGGCAAATGTTTGTGTTTTCAAGTGGTACCATAATTACTTTACCTCTCAGCACAGCCAACACGCACCATGCGAATAGACTGGAATTTTCTCAAAACACACCTTGAAAACCTGGAAAAGTCAGGGAATTTCATTCTCCTCATTGAGTGGCAACCCTGATGTAATTATTTGGCCTGAGTATCATTTACAAAATCTATTTTTTGTGTAGGGAAAGAAATTTCTAATTTCTCCTCAACACATTCAACATTTTGCTGTGCATTAACTGAAGTCTGTAATCATCGCCTTAGATAATGTCAACATAAATGGTTACCATGCTGTTTGGTTTTCAGTTATTAATATTAAAAAAAGAGAGAAAATTAGATATCATTGCATGAGCCATTTCTCAAGTTGCCGTGTGTTCATTGTTATGCAGTGATGAAAACAAAAAAGAATAAATAATGATTCGTTAAGTTGGTGTCAGAGATATGAATTAGTCAGAATATGTAAAATCAACCATATTTCAGTGTAGAATTTTTCAGTTTAAGATGTATTCCAAGCGAAGTGGCAACTAGAGAGCCAAATTATTGGTTATGAAGATTTATGCTAATAAATGATTGTTCTTCTGTATTGAGATATTTTAATTAGTGCCAAAGCAAAATTAAGAATCAAGACTCCACACATTTTATGATGAAAAAATATCAAATACACATGGGTAAAGTATAAGGCATCTGAAGTCTAAAAATTATATATTCTAAATTTAGGAAAGAAACTGCAAATCAGAAGTTTCTAAAAAACTTATAAGGAATAATAATAATAATAGAAAAGAGTTCAGATCAAGCATTAATTGCTTGGAAAAATTTTTAACAGTATCAACTGTTGCTCACCAGATTCAAAATCTGTATAAAATTTGCCACTTCTTAAAATTTTGACATTTTAAAGTATGAAAACTTTTTCTTGTCTGGTTTGAAACATTTCAGTTAAAACATTGAGAAACTGGATACTGTGCATGTTCAGAATTAGGATATTCTAAGAAGGTGTAACACTTTGTGAAAAGTAGCTAGATTTCATTTTTCTAAATGCAACTCTCTAAAGTTGTTTAGATTACGCTGGGGCAGAAGACAACAGCAGAGTTCAGCCTTTATCTTTTTGTCTTGTTTGTTGTTGTCTAAAGCTGTTGAGTAAATAAATTTGGAAAACTAAATTGTTTTGATATAAAGGATAGTAGTTATCAGATTCAAATAAGAGACTCAAAATGGAGTAGTAAGTTAGACTTTCCTTTGATTAATGACAAGGAAAATAATGGAAAGCTGTCTTGAGTATCCCCCCCCCCAAAAAAAACAGATATTTCCAAAAAAGAAAGAAAGAAAGAAAGCGTGAGTTTCTGTAGTCCCTTGGAAGATGCAGGCTGAGAAAGTGTTATGATCTATGACTTTGACATCAAAAGATGTAACTTTCAATGAAATAGCCTGCACAAAATAATTTAAATGCTTTTGACATTATCATTGGATTTGATAGCTTAGTTAACTAAAGGTAGGCTTTCTGCCCAACCATTGTCCAAGTTTTGATAATTTTTATGCAAGGGGTTAGTATCTGGGGATATTTGCCTCTTATTCTCCAGCCAGAACTTTTCAAGTTGACACATATTTTTTTTTAAGTGCTCCATTTCTCATGAACTTCAGTGCCTTATCCAGTATTAATCTCAGGTCCATAAACGTTTATTCAGCTTCCACTAAACCACTGCACTGTTCTGCCAACAAAATTATCATTAGAATTTATTATTCTCCTTTAAATATTTTTGTTATTATGTCTATTTTAAGAAATTTTGTTATTTTCATCATTCATTAATATACCATGTATGTAAAGTGTAATAATATACATTTCAGCTAGGATCTCCTCACGCTGCTATGTTCAAAGTGGGTTTTTATAAAATCCACCCTGAAATACCTGCAACAATGTCTGAAAGGGCGAAAAACTTCATACTAAGGTACTATTATTTAAATTTATTTCTGTATTTGACCAACAATTTATCTGATGGCATATAGAGTGTTGTCATATATATTTTCTAGTATGTTATTTAAAACGTTATCTTCTTTGGAAAATTATATATACGTACTGATAGAAAAAGAAATTCGAACACCAAGAAAGAACCAGTTTAGAGAAATTAAATATAGGCAAAGCATTTGTCTAAGTACCGTATTTATATGATTACTGTTTCAAGGCCACATGTTAAAGTATGTGCAAGAAGAGCCATTTCAAATGTGAAATGATGTTACATTAATAATTGCTGTAGCCAACACAATGTTGAATTGAAGTATGTTCTATCGGGCAAGTGCTGCTTGCCGTTTTATGGGATAGAGTTCTATGCCTATCCATCAGTCAAGTCAGTAATAGTCTGTGCTGGTTGTGGATGATCTGAATTTATCATCCAATCATGTCCTATACGTACCCAATGGGAGAAAGATTGGGTGGTCTCACAATTCAAAGTGACTCATTGACACTGTAGATCATGTTTGGTGACAGAAATGGTATGCGAACAAGCATTATCCTTTTGGAAAGTGCCTCCTGCAATATTACTCAGTAATGTCAGCACAACTGGGGCAATCACCAGTCTGACATACATATTTGTTGTCAAAATGTGTCGGGTAATGATGAGAGTGCTCCTGCTGTCACAGGAAATTGCTTCCCAGACCTGGGAAGGCCTTTCATGGTTTTCCCCATGTGTAACATATATATGAGCCAGTTTCCATAAGAAACTTCTCCATGAAGGCATCCCTGCCCTTAGGCAGATACCCCCTAGTGTGCTTTGCCATAATCAACTGAAACATGCGAAAATTTTTTGTGGCATATGTGTGACTGGACCTCGGCGTTCTTGAGACAGTTACCTTCCTGTGTTCACTGCTGCCAGCACACGTGCACAGTGGATTCATCTCTGCCAAATCGTTTTGCAGTTTCTTGAAAAGAAAATCCACCTTCTATCAGCCTTATTACTTAACCTCGTTCTAGTTCAGTAAGCTGCTGATGTTCTTGACTCAAATCTAGCTCACAATGCTCAGTATGGAAGATAAATAAATTGCATGAAGTTTACATCATCTGTTTAAAGCAAATATGACTTGTATGTTCATAAGTGCTGTTAGTAGCACCGCACTTATTTCTCTAGGGTGAAATGCGAATAGACATCTTTACCTCCTAAATGCCATTTATATAGCACAACTTCTCTTTCGTATTGGGGTTTCATTTTTAATAGTTGTGTATACATATATAAATATATTAATTAAGCAAAATAAATTAATACTATCTGGGATGTCTTTGTTTCATAAACAGAAATGAATTAATTAAAAAAAATTAAATTAATATTAGAATTTTAAAAATTGCCAAACACTTATAGCCAAAATATTGCTGTTGAAGAGTAAAAAAGAACTCAAGTTAACCAATAATAAATGAAGCACAAAGAAAATGTTTCAATCAAATGAGTAATTTCAGATTTGAATATCTTAAAGGGATATTTAATCTAAAGTTATTCTGTTAACTTACATCAGGTGCCCCAAAAAAATGTTTTCCGTGGTTAATAATCAAAAGCAACTTCATTTATTAAATTAAGTGTACTTTTGAAAATCAGGAACATCACCCTACATTTTTTAGGAAACCTTAAAATGAATGCAAAAAAAAATCAGAAATAATTTTTACAAAATTTGAATTAAATTTCTTTCTGGTGAAATGGTTAGAAAAATAATGGAAAAATATTCAATTCCAAAAATTTAAACTATGTGCACATCTTGAAATTGGAACTAAATGTAGACCAGTTACTATATTTAACAGTTCAGTTTGCTTTAAAAGCACCGAAGATAACATTAACGATTTCATTTCCAAAATTAGCTGCAAACTAAGACCACTTATTGATACTTTCCTGAAATAGAAAAGTACTATTTTGTGAGAAATTAAAGTAGTTCTTGGAAAAATTATTAGTTTAAGTTGCATACTGACAGATTTGTGAACTTAACAGCAAGTTTACTATTACCAAAGTAGGAAAAGCCTGTAACAATTTCAGTATCATTTATTTGTAACTAATTATACTGTTCACTAAATAAGATTGAGCTTAATCAGCCAACTTTGCCAACTTTTATTTATGGTTTTATTATCTACAAATAATTCACTGGAATTTGTAATCTTAAAGCTAATAATGAATATTGTGCTTATGTATTCTTACTGAACATCAAGTATGCTATGTGAAAAGTTTCCCCTCCTCCTGTTTTAGGTGTTTTGTTGCTGATCCTGATCAGAGAGCTACTGCTGCAGATCTTCTAGAAGAACCTTTCATTTTAGAGTATGTGATTTTATATTACAGATTCTAGTGCTGCATTCTCCTCCTTATGTTAAGTTTTCTAATTTTTATTTTTCAGGCCTAGTGGAAAGAAGAAAACACATAGAGCAGCTCCTCCTGATTTCAGTCGAAGTATATCTGGTACTATTAATCTCTTCAAAATGAAAAAATTATTTATCTTAGCTAATTTACCATATTGAATCCAGATTTTAATTAAAATGGATTTCATGACAAATAAATTTTAGTCACATTCACCCCATCATTTTAATCAGTTCATACATTTTAATTATCTCTTAATATATATACTCTGGTAATGTGCACACATTTGTACTTCTGCAGCCTAAAGTTGAATAATTTAATTAAAAAGGATTAGTCTTGTGTGTAAAATGTTTAAATTATGATAAACAATGCACTTTCATACATTTGTATTTATATATAAATACTAAATAACCGATTATTTTGTATCCCTGTTGTCATCGAAAGTACAATGCACTTTCTTCATTTTGGCATAAAACACTATTCATGCTAACATCAAGGATTTTTGTCATTTTAGTGTGTAAGAAGCTTCTTATGAGTACATGTGGTTGCTTCATTACTTATGACCTCACTATCCACTCAATCAATCCAATCATTTGTCTTCTTATCTTTCCTTTTGGTGTCAAACTGTGTTCTTTATTAGGGATATTGATCTCTTATACACAGGCATTCTGCTCTCCCCCCTTTTTTTGTTCTGCCTTTCCCATTTGAGATCACATTCACTTGTTTAGTCAGATTTATTTTAAATGTTAAAAAAACTTGTAGAAAGTAACTTTGTGCATTTTAATACTAAAAAAAATGAAGTTCAGTGTAATAATTAGTTTACCAACTATTGTTTCATTGGAGCTTTCCCCATCACAAGTGTGTGAAAAAAACTGCTGAATATTGGTTATTTGACCCACTTTGGCTTTGAATACCGATGAACAGGCTGGCTGCATGGTTGCTTTTTATGGTTTTCTGTATGTGTTGCATGAATACAAGCCTGTTTCCTTCAGAATGTCCTCCAAGATGGCATCCGTCCTCTAACGGAGATAACTCTTGTGGCTTTGCCATATTCAAGTAGCATATCCCTAACCTAACCTCATTTTAGGTTACATTCAACATTCAAAGGTTAATTTTCCTGCAGAGCAGTCTCATTAATGACACAACTTTCACTCTGCTCCCATTAAAGTTCTGAACCTAATTTCTCTTCTTTCAACCAAACAACTTTCACATGAAGTACTACACTACTATAACATTCAGCACCATAACACTAATGCTTTGATAATGTTGGTCTAAGCTCCAATGAAACTTCAGTCATCAATGAAATGTTTGATAATTTGTGTTAATTATTATGTTGAGTTTATATTTTTGGTAAAAAAACTTAAGAGATAAGTTCTGAAACTCTAATGCTTATCTCTGTCCATGAAGAAATGCTGTCAAATCTGTTTATCTCTGCTGGGATTCAGGTCATGCCGAACATGCTCAAAGTCACATACTGCAGCCATTAAGTTCTTTTCCTAGCACTGATATAAATGATATTAAATATATTTACTTTTGGCATGGTGTTACTGTAAAAACTGCTGCCAGTGATAACTTTGTTACAGCAGTGATTACTGCAAGCATTATAAGTACATTTCTGCTTTTCTCGTGTCATTGCATTCACACGTAGTTTTCATTTCCCCCCCTAATCACCAAGTTATTAAAATATCAGAAACCCATTTCTTTTTCAAGTTCATTGCCTATTTGTAGAAATTTATAAGTTTGTTAAGGTCACATGACATTCTTTGCCATAATTATTGAAATGATAATTCCTTTGTGAAACAATGTGCACAATTCATGTGTGTTGTAAATTTCATAGGACAGAGCCTTGCTGTTTTAGTAACTCTTGATCTTTGATTAATGTCATAAAATTATTCATATTAAAATATTGAAAATCTGCATTTAAAAATACAGTGGTAACTTAGTATATGTCTGCTTTGAATTATATCCAACTTACTATGCATCCTCTTCGGGCATGAAAATATTTGTTTGGGGTACAGTATTTGTTTGGAATATGACTTGAATTCATTGAGTTACGAATGAGCTCACTATACTTATTTATTTACCACTTTTGAGATAGTGCTACAGCTGCCCATGAGCATTACTATACCTGTTGCTTCTATTTATTAAATAACCTGCACTATGAATTTTCAAGTGATTTTGCATTTTTTGTTTTGTTAATTCATTAACAACACATTTTAGGGAAGTTAATGAGAAGAGTCAAGCAACGAAGGAAATTGTTATGATTAGCATAGCATAGAGGTGAAAAAAGAGGTTGTTGAAAAATCTGATGATGGTATGCATATCCAGAACTTGGCTATTGCATTCTGTATGCTGAGTATGATGGTGTCGATGATTGGGGGGAGGTGCTGGAGCATGATGAAAATTTTCTTTTGATCTGGATAGTAGAAAAAAATTTATGTTGAGTGCTTCATTTATGAAACATATCCCAAGGTATATATAAATTCTAAAATCAGACTTTTTAATAGATATTCGAAAGGTCACGAAACTGTATGGTTAAAATTGTATGATGAGTAATGACTTTTAAAATGTTATGATGAGTCTGTTTTCAAGAATCAACTACTGCTTGTTAATTCAGTGGTGTTTGTTAATTCATATAATAAATTTTACAAGCTGGTAATGTCTATTATTAAATTATGAAAAATCTGTACATATGTGTATTTGTTTCTTGCATTCTGAAAGAATGGTGGTACCTAGAAGCATCAAATTTCGAACACATCCTCTGCCAGACCATGTGCATTTCGAATGTGGAATTGTGCATTTTTTATTTATTTCATATTTTCTGAAAATTTTATAAATTTTTGATAGACAAATTCAGTGATTTAAAAGCAGTGTGGTGCCACTGATAAAAATAAAACTTTTCTATCTTATGTTCCTAACTTATGGCCATATACCAAAGTGTAAAATATTTTTCTTCCAAATCTAATCAACAAAATCAGCTATTAAAAAACAATGTGTTATAAATAAAGTAATTTTATTTTTCGGTCGATTGTGTTACCATTTAGCGAAACATAAGCTATTTAATGTGTATTACTGATTAACAAATTAATCACTTTGAAAGCAATGTAGGCTATTCTTAATAATATTTTCTAAAGTTTTCTATAGGATTTATTTAAATAAAAACTGGAGTTGTGCTAATAATTCATACAGAAATTCTCCATTATTAATTGCATTTAGTCTGTTCAATCTATCCAGTATTTTCTGATAATATTGCTTTAATCTCTTTACTTGATTCGTTTCATGGTTCTTTGAGAAATATTAACCAGGTTTCATTGCATAAGTAGAAAGAAAAAAGTCATTTTTGAGCAGATTTTATATGTGTAAAGTTTGCTACATGATGTCCACTATGTCCCCTGTCATTAAATTCTTCAATAAAAACAAAAGCAAAGTAAAATGGAACAACTGATATTTGAGCTAATATCAGTACTGCCAGTAGGTAATGAAAAATAGAATAAGCACACTAAAACTAATATACATGTATTTAAAGGAGGTGTGAATGAAAGGAATAAGCTGGTCCACATTTCAATAATCAATTTAATTGCTGAACGGTGAGATGCTTTTTTTACTCTAGATAAAGAAAAAATGTTTGTGTCCTCGAAAAAAAAGTGCTTTATTCTGTGACCATATATGACAGCTATTTTTAATTTATGCTGTGACTTTTCGAAGCATAAATAAAAATAACTGTCATATATGGTCTTGTGCACTGAAAAACAGAATTCTATGCATCTTATTTTGTAATTTCTATTGCATCCAGAATCATTAAACTGGAATGATTTAAATTAGTGTAGTCAAAAAGGCAATACTTTTGGTTTATTATTTAAAGTGTTAAATAATATTTTTATGATATTGTGCTAGCTGGAGTCTGTGAAACTAGTGCATGAAATATTCTATTTGAACCTATTTTTTATTTTTTTAATTTATGTTCTGAAAAATAAAATTTTTCTTCTAATTTAATAGGTGCTGTTACTGATAGCATGATTTTGCATTTTCATGCCTCTGTAGTCAAATATTTGAATGTTCTTAAGCCTATTCTATCCAAACAAATTATTGAACTAATAAACAAAGATATTAAAATCAGATTGTCTACTATTAATTTAATGTACTGGCTAACATATTGGCAATAAATATGCAATGGTTAATGGCAAGGATTTGTAGAAAATATACAAAGAATCTATTATCCAGATACTGCAAGTTTGTCGAGAAAATCACATTTCTGATGTAGATGACTACCATGAAGTCATGAAATATAAACTTCAATTCATTTGAAATTTTTATTTCATAATTTTTTTTTCTTACTGTGATTTATTTATTCATTTTAGTATTTTGTGGACAGAGAAAACTATTGCTTCTATACATTTGCATTACATTTATTTATTTGCAATTAACATAAGTATGTTTTAGAACAAACTTTAAAAAAATGTTTTTATGCTTGAAAGAATAATTTCATTCTTAACAGTAATTTTTATTTTAGAGGTGAAGGTTGGTTCAGGCCCATTATAAGTTCAGTTATATACTGGTGTAGTTCAGATCCATACTAAGGCTGAAAATTCTAATTACCCGGAAGATGTCAGAAGTTGAAGAAAAAGTATTTCAGTTCTCCATAAGGAAATCAATTTAGCAAAGCACAAGAGTTTTAATATTTTTATAAATAATGTTGACTACCCTAAAAAATGGAGCTAAGGCTTTTCAATTTGTAAATAAATTGAAATATGATGACCCTCTTTCCCCAAGGGTACCAGACATTTTTAAAGGAAAGACTGAAATTTGACAAGGATATTTCTAATGCTTTTATGAATTTTTATATGTCTGATCAAGGTTTGAGTAGTGAACTTAAGAGAGATCAAAAGCTGATGAAGAAATTGATCAAGGACTCCCATATGACTTTGGGATTTGGACAAGAGATTTTTAATAGAGACTGGCATGTTAGAACTAGAAGAAGCTATTGATTTCCTAAAGATATTAAGTAAAGTCCAGGTCCAGATAATATGCATCCAGAGTTTATTAAACATATTGGATACAATGCTCAAATGTTCTTTCTGCCTATTTTTAATCATAGTTGGAACTCTTATGTGCACAATGTGGGAAAAAGCTATTATTATCCCTATTTTTAAAAGGGATAAATCTGCAGATAATATTAAAAGCTGTCAACCTACTGCATTGACTATTGTTTTGTTGAAGATTACGGAAAAGATGTTTGTGTCTAGACTAACTTGGTTTCTGGAGAGTAACAGTAACAATCTTTTGTCTCCTAAACAAGCTGGAATCAGACAATATCATTCCGCTCACCAACAAGTATCTTATGTTAGTCAAGCCGTTAAAGATTCTTTAGACAAGCCATTAAAGATTCTTTAGACAATCGCTTGTCTGTCCTGGCAACATTTATAGACTTTGAATCAGCTTATGGTAAAGTATGAAGATTACGTACTATTCAGGAATTACAGAAGTTGGCAATAAATGGCAGGATGTTTTTATACATTAAGAATTTCTTATCACAACGTTTTTTTGCTGTTAGATATGGCTGTGACATTTCTAGATTTAAACAAACTGAAACTGGCCTCCCACAGGGAACAATCATCAGCCCAATTCTTTTTAATATTTTTATTAATGATTTACCGAACACTGGCACTGTGGGTGGATTCTGCCCTTTTTGCTGATGATTTGGTTATCTGGAGTAGTGATTCTAAAAGTAAGCAAAATTGCTTAAATGTGACTCTCAGGAGTCTCTGAAAGAGCTGAAATGCTGATGTGTAAAAAATGGTATGAGGGTAAATCAGGATAAGAGCAGGTCCCAGTTCTTCATTCTGAACAGACAGCCTTTTACCCTGAAGTTGACATTTAAGGGTGTAGATGTTCAACATAATGATTTGACAAAGTATTTGGGTTGCATCCTTTATCCACGCTTAAATTGGAGGAAACATTTGAAAAAAGCCATGAGAAGATTCTCTGTCTTAAAACGTCTGACCAGCCCAAGGTGAGGCTGTGACAGAGAGACATTGACGACTGCTTACAAATTATACATTCAATCAATTATTGGTCATTGTAGCGAGATCCTCATCATGGCTCCAGAGAATGTAGTCCAGATCCTCGAAGTCTTCTAAAACCAAGCGTTATGCATACTGTATTCTACTCGTATTCTTGCAATGCAGATTTTACTTGTTTGGAACCTGTTAATGATTATATTAAGAGGAAAGCGATCCTATTATACCAGAAGCTGGTGCCTTTGCCCGACAATGCTTTTTGGAGGAACTATAATAATGAAATTTCTAGAAATTTTAAAACACAAATTGGCTTTATCCAGGCTGCTCAGAGAGAATCTGATGCTTTGGAACTGAGCCAAGATTGTCCAATTTTACCTCCTCGCCATTGTTCCTTGGGCTTTTTGAATTTGAATATAAATCTTGATGTTATCCAAAAAGTTGTTAAAATGAAATGAACAATTCACAATTATGATCTATTGCAATCGAAACTATTGGAGTTGGCTAACCTCAAAATGAGTGGTTGCATGTCTACATTGATAACTCTATGTTAGAGAGAATGTGCAATGCCGGACCATGTTCCATGGCGAGCTTTCTAGCTCCTACTTACCAATGGGCCCTCTTGCTACTTTACCAATGGGCCTTTGATGGGAAAATCAAAGCTATTGCTGTAGCTATTTAACAACTGTCAATTCATAGCCACTCTTTTGTAAAGGCAGTCATATTGTCAGATTCCAAAAGTGCACTTCAAATTCTTCTGAATAATCAAAATAGTTCCCAAAGAATCTTAGACTGTAGGCCTTAGCTTATGGCAATGACATACAGAATATCTTTCCAATGGATTCCAGCCCACTGTGGAATTATGGGAAACGAAAAAGCTGATACATTGGCTAAGAAAGGATCTTTGATAATTCAACACATTAATGAACCGCTTTCTTTTCATACGATTGAATTGTTTGTTAACCTTACTCTTAAGAAAATTCTTAAGCAGGATATGATTCAACATGTTGTGGATAAGAGTTGGAGGATTCTGAGGGAAGATGACAACTTTCATTCCCAGTTTTCCAAGAAAGGCAGCGGTAGCTCTATTTAGATATCTGACTGTGCATGACTGTTTGCGAGACCACCTCTACAGAATTGAAGTGGTGGATTCCCCAAACTGTATTTTGTGTGGCTCCAATCAGCCTATGATTTTTTAATGTTTAAATAATTGTATTGCACTTTCTCGGCATGAGGACATTGTTAAAAAGTACTGGAGATCCATGAGCTAATGCCTTATTCATTATTGTTTAGCATTTGTAAAATAAAATTTTAGAGGTGTAGGGAAGGAGGATGAAGTATGAAATGAATTTCATATATTCTTACAGTATATATTCCAGTTTCTTGTAGTAGTAACATTCCAGAAAAACATAATTATTTGTTTAGGTTAAGAATAATTTCAAATGATAAAAAAATTGCTTTTTTTCCTTATGTTTCACATTTTTTTAAGTAAATTACAATTTCAAGTTGTCAGATAGACAAGTATTTCAGATGTGCTGATTTCAAATTCTTTTTGTATAAGTAATGTGTATATATAGTGTGGGATATTTATAAGACAGCCTGGCACATGAGATGGCCATGTATTTTTATGGTATTTTAGAAAATGACAAAATTGTTTGTAATGGAGTCCGACATGTATGAATGTTATAACTGAAGGTATTTCATAAGAAAAATAATTCGATGCTCTAAATATCATATTTGAAGAAAAACTTCTGTAAGTGTATATTTTTAGTATAGAAATAAAAGAAGGAATGATATTCTATCTTAATATATATAGTCAAGAAAAAGCTTTTATCAGTGCATTGCCATTTTAATGAAAAAAGACATATTATCTTCTGTATAATATGCTACAGTAGTTTAGAATATGTGCTTAATTTTTCTAAAAAATTTTAATAGATATTAATCAGTAAAGTGTATCATTTTAATTTGAGCTTTATTTCAGTGCCAGAGAGAGTATCCAAATTAGACAAACCGATGAATGTTGAAAGGTTTGCAAGTACAGGCGAGGAGAGGTAGTCATTTTTGTCTACGTTTTTAAAATTTTCATGTATTTTTATGTGTTTCTGAAAATTAACTTGTATGCATGCTAAGTATGTGGAAGTTTATTCAAACATTCTGTCATTATTTAGCGCTGCTATTGTATGCAAGACCAGTCCATCTAACTCCCTTCGGATACCAACGCCCTTCACATTTAGGTATGCTGAATTATGAATTTGAATAGTAAGAATTCCTTAAAATCTGAGGTACTACACCTAGCCTTTTCCCTCATTTCATATTCTCATGTTTCATGGAGTTATGATAGAAAATCATGTATGTATAAATATTGCCTACAAGATTTAAATTTTAGTGCAATACTCTGCAATTACTACTGTAACAAAAAGAGTTTAGATTTTTTTTCCCTTTTTTGTACTTGCATATTGAAATAAATTCCTTTGCTTGAGAAAGTGAAAGACGCTTAATTCGTATTGCAGCTATTTATTATAATTCTTATACTTTGTGATACATGTATTAAATATGCATCTAGCATATAGTTCATGCACTATTTAAACTATTATCATTTCTTATTCACTATTACATCTCCAGATCAACCATCATTTTGAATAATGGTAGTTCTGTTTATCCCTTCAGAAAAGGTCTCCAGTTCTTTCTTATTATCACAATAAATATGGTTTTATTTTATCAGAAAAATTATTTACAATTTGACCTACTTAAAGGTAATATTAATTTGCCAGACTGCTGTGATAATAAGGATTACTTTGCAAGTTTAGTTTTCATCATTTGCCCTAGACATTAAAAAGAAAAGAAAATTTTGCACTGATTTATTAATAATGAAATATGCTAAAATTATGTGTAATAAATAAATGATGCCATGATAAGTGAGAAAAATCATATTTAAAAGCAGCGTGCAGATAATTAAACTGAAATACTTTAATAAATAGTTAACAAGTATTTTAACTTTCAGTTGGGCTACTATTTGAAGCATGCTTTTAGTGTAACAAAAGCAGGAAAACTAGAGAAGTCAAATTTTCTTTCTGTGAATTATCAGCTGCCCACTTGTGCATAAAAAATTACTTGATATTAGAATTTAATTTCTCTTAGAATTTCTCTGCAGTAGATCTTTTTTGACCAAATTCTTATTTCCATTAAATATTTATCATAGCCTTTGCTCAGATATTTAATTGATATTTCTTTGTTTGAAAGTAGATTTGTGCAAAATTATAAGAAGAAAATAATTGTAAATAAATAATATAAAAAATATCATTTGTAGATTTATTTCTGGAATTGCTGTATGTACAACTAAACAAAAAAATAAATAGAATGAGCTACATTTTTTTTTCGCCTGAGCATACAGAAATATTCAAACTTATAAAGAAGGAAGTTTATGATAACTTGCATATGTTATGACAAAATAAGTTTTGATTTGTAGAAATATTCAGGAACTTATAACCAGCTGTGAAAGTCAATATCTTCATCAAGCTTTAAGCTTAAATATCTATTGATTGAAATGCTGCTATGAAGAGTATTTTATGCAAAAATTGGTAGAACTGAAAAAGAAATGTGAATTAGTTTGCCTTCAGTATATCAGCTAATTTTGAAGATTTACAAGTAAACAGTTCTGTTTAAATTTTTTGTACTACTTGCAGTGTGCTAATTGTTAATTTTTGCATAGCAAATTTCTTGTATTAATGGATTGCTATGTTTATATATGTGTAAAATGTTTTAGACATGGTATAAGATTCTTCTCTAAGAACTCTTTTTGCTACGTTTTATAGTCAAAGAAAATTATTTTTTCGTTTTTAAAATAATTGGAGGAAAACTGCTTAAAATGAAAGTTAGAACTGTGCTTTCACTATACAAATGAAGTTTTTTATTATTTATTATTTCCATTTTCACTATAGTTTAATTTGCTTGAAAATTGTTCTGTGTTTTTCGTATTAGTTTCAATTGAAAGAAATGAGAATACAGTCAAAAGTTGTTAATCCGGACTCGTCGGGACTTCGGCGATTCCGGATTATCGATTTTTCCGGATTATAGATCATCAGTTTAAATCTTGTAAGATGGCATGCAGAAATTCTAAAATTAAAAATATGAAACAGTAATTTATGAAATAAAGAACAATTATGATCTAAAAGGTATCAAAATTTGCAAAAAGAAAAAGCTTAATATTTATTTGTTTATACTTATTAAACATTTCTTTCAATGTAAGTTGTTTAAGTTTTGCTTCGTTTCATGTGATAATACTTTCTCTTTAATTCTATTAAACAGACATAATTTCTTGTTCAGTTACAAAGTTCCGCTGTTCAAGTCCCTATAATTGCTGTGTCAAGAACACCGACTAATTTGTCAATCGAAATTTTTTCGTTTTCAATAACCTCTGTTACTTTTCTTTCTTCGCTATCGGAAGCGAATTATAATGACGAGGAACTTGTTTTTAAATCATATCAAAGACGGAGCATATCGAGATGAAATACTACATTTGGTAAGGAATTATAAGCCAAATAAAATAAAAACATCTGCGCTGAAGATAAGGATAGTGCTGACAGATCAACTTCCAATTCATTACGCGCCCGCCGCGGCGTTCCCCCCGCCAAGCAGCGTGAAATTGATAAACAGATTTCGGATTTCAAAACATACTTTCGCTTTAGATCCTTTACATATTAACAAATATATATCGGAAATTCTATTTGATATAATCGAAAGTTTAAGCTTACTTTTATAAAATTGCTCTTACAGTCTGCAAAAAATAATAAGCCAGATCCAATTCGAAAATTAAGGAACAACGCAATCATCAACATTAACTGAAATAGATAATTAGATAATTTTAGCTTATACGTCCATTATACATAAAATGCACATGCGAAAACGTATTCTGCACTTGCGCACACTCATATGCGCAGTCGTAAAAGGTCTTACGCGCACGCGTAAACGCCTATGCGCATGCGCAGAAAGTTTTTAGTTTTGAGGTCCGGATTATAGATCATTCTGAATTATGGGTGTCCGGATTAACGACTTTTGACTGTACTAGGATTGCAATAGAAAATAATTATATACTTTATTTTTCCAAAATTAAGTCAGTAATTATAACCAAAAATTTTTTTAAATGACAAGTATAGTTAAAATATGTGTCAGTATGCATACTTAATTGACAGTTGTATTACATTTTCCTTTCAGTCTAAACTTAGTTATCTATTTAAGTAATTTTTTGTTTAATCATAATAGTACTTTGTATCATGTACCATGTAATACATTTAGTTGAGCTTTTAAGGAAATATAACCTCAGATTGAACAAAGAAAAGTCTATTAAATACTTGTGTGAGAAAGGACAGCTAATCATATTGGATATAATAATAGATTTTAAAAGTCATCATTCTATTTTTGAAGCTTTTATAGTTTTTTTATTATTATAACTTGTATATTAACTAACACATTTTTTTTTTAATATCTGATCTGTCAATATGTGCTATAGATTCAAACTGTGGATTTGGCAAATGTTTGGGTGGAATTTTATTAACTTCTTTTTTCTTCCTATTATAGATGTTATCCTTTTTTGAAATAGTATGAATGCAATAAAGCTTTCGATGCATAGAATCCATTTAACCCCTTAACTGCTGCTGGCGTATAAATACGCCTTGCTCAGCCGATGCGTTAACTGCCGTGGGCATATATATACACCTTGCTCAGCTGATGCATTAACCTGCCACAGGCGTATATATATGCCCTTCCAAACTACTATCATTTGCTTTGCGCTGCTACCTGTAAAATTATTCACAAAGCTTTGGAATGCAACACCACAATGACCTTGACAAAGTATGCAAAGGAGGATACTATTTCAGAAATCTGTGGGGGAAATTGGAGAGAGGGGTGTGTCTAAAGCGGTGAAAATAATGACTGCACAGTATTCGCTGGTGTTGTTTGAGTAAAACTTTTTTTTTATTCTTTTTCCTCCGTTTCCGTTTATTTTTTGTAGTAGGTTCCAGGAATAAAGAAAGATATAATGGATGTTTCAAGCCCATTTACCCTTTTTGAATTATTTTTTGATGATCTGCTCGTGCTTCATATTGTTACTGAAACTAACCATTTTGTAGATGAGTATATGAACCAACACCTTGTAAACGAAAAATCAAGAACAAAATCCTGGCATTCAACCAGTTCAGAAGAAATGTATGTTTTTTTAGGCATACTGATTTCACAAGGTATAACACTGAAACCTGATACAGTCAAAAGTCGTTAATCCGGACTCGTCGAGACTTCGGCGATTCCGGATTATAGATCATCAGTTTAAATCTGGTAAGATGGCATGCAGAAATTATAAAATTAAAAATATGAACCGAATTTATGAAATAAGAACAATTATGATCTAAAGGGTATCAAAATTTTCAAAAAAAGCTTGATATTTATTTGTTTACTTTACTTTCTTCGCTATCGGAAGCGAATTAAATGAACGAGGAATTTGATTTAATCATATCAAAGATGGAGTACATCGAGATGAAATACTACATTTAGTAAGGAATTATAAGCCAAATAAGATAAAAACATCTGCCCTGAAGATAAGGATAGTGCTGACAGATCAACTTCCAATTCATTGCGTGCCGCAGAGCAGCATAAATTGATAAACAGATTTTGGAATGGTTAGATAAACAAAGGATATGCCTTTATCCATTTTTTGCAGCAATTCCACTTTTTGTTTAATGGACTTCAAAACATACTTTCGCTTTGTAGATCCTATACATATTAGTAAACATATATCGGAAATTCTATTTGACATAATCGAAAGTTCAAGCTTACTTTTATAAAATTGCTCTAACAGTCTGCAAAAAATAATAAGCGGATCCAATTCAAAGATTAAGGAACAACGCAATCTGCAACATTAACTGAATTAGATAATTTTAACTTAGCTTATACCGTCCGTTATACATTAAATGCGCATACGTAAACGTATTTTGGGCATGCGCACATGCATATTCGCAGCCGTAAAGGTCTTACGCATGCGCAGAAAGTTTGTAGCTTTGAGGTCCGGATTATAGATCATTCCGGATTATGGGTGTCTGAATTAACGACTTTTGACTGTATTACACTTTACTAGTTTAAAAATGAATTGATCAAAACTCCATTTTAGGGATCTTTTTTATTATAAAAACATCATTTTTATTATACTTCCATCTTTTTATTATACTTTTACTCAAAACATTAAATT